TAAAATGAGAGGATTCGTGAGCACGCAATTTCAGCACTGTGGTGAGTAGATTCTAACTTAATAACCTCTGATTGGCCATTGCGTTCTAGAAAAAAAAACAGCTGAGTCTGTGATTGGCTACATTGCGCTACCCTTTAAACACGGGTTATAAATAGAAACTATGCCTAGCTTGCACGTCGATCATTTTAATGTTAATATTAGTTGTTCTTTTTGCTTTTGTGCAGCAGATAAATAACAATTTATATGTTTTAGACGCTTTATATTTAGATAATTTCTATTTTGCGGAGTCCCGCGAATCATTTTATTCTCCCGCATCCCGCACACACACAAGTCTCTTCCCGCCCGCACCCGCACTCGCCCATCAAAAGTTGTCCCGCGCTGCACCCTGTTGCGTTGGGTCCCGCGGGTCCTGCGGTACTCCCGCGGGAGTGCAGGTCTCTACTGTGGACCATGACTCACTAGTCGCTGGTCTGTGCACAAAAAGCAGGTGTGTGAAACTTCAATATGAAAATGATGTGCAAGTGAAATCTCGTGTTGCAGAGATCGTTCAGGGATTCCCCAGCGCAGGTTTTACCTTGGCAGCCACTTCAGCGCTGATCTCTTCCTGCGTTTCGGCCAGCCGTTTCTTGGCCAGTTCGGTTCTTCTGTCACAGTCTGCGATGAAGGACTGCAGGTGCTCTGTGGCCTGAGGAGACGCGGCACGATCAGCCATTTATAAGCACATACAGTCAAATGCATATGAATGTAAAGGGTTCATACTCACATCCAGCTCAAAGAAATACTCCTGCTGTTTAGATGCGATCTCATAATCTGCTCTCAAAGCGAGATCGTGAATCTTCACACACTCCCCCAGATCCATGCGCTGCACAACCACAAACACAACCGTTTAGAAAACTCAGGCAACCTTTCAATGTCATAATGCAACTGTGGCGAAGCATAAATACAGTCCTGCAATTATCAAACCGGTTTTAGATGAGTAAAGTCAACCCCACAGAGGCGAGGAACGATAATGAGACACTTACGGTTCCAGACAGTATGTCATGTGGACACGACTCCAGCAGATGACTCTTACACACCCGCTCGTCCGTGAACTTGATCCGCTGTCTCATCGTGTCTCCTGCGAGAAACCAGATCCACACATTATATGAGCATCAAAAATCATCCATGATTCTCACACTTACGGTTCCAGACAGTATGTCATGTGGACACGACTCCAGCAGATGACTCTTACACA